CGACTCTACATCATCCGATGTAGATTTTAAAGCAATTCCCATTTTTTTAGTCATAAGTTTAATATTTTTCTCAGATATCCGATTAAGTTTAGAATTATCTACAGGAATGTTAAGCTTCTGATGAGAAATATGTTCCATCGACTGCTTAACATCTCTACATCATCCGATAGAAGTGTGGGGTGGGTGAGCATATAAGTATTTTATTTGTCGTTATATAAATAAATTAATGATTAACTGCAGCAATTTTAGGCTTCTGAACAGAGATATATTTTATCGATCGTTTTACAAATAATTGCATGCCCAAATAAAAGTACTTAACAACCAAAAAGATGCTTCTAAGATGAAGATGAATTTCAAAAAAAACTAAATGAGAATTTAATTGTATCAAAAGAATATATTTTATTAAATATACAAATCAAATACAACTATTGTTTATCTATTTTCTTCGCGTAGCGCCTTTCCAACCCATTTCTGACATATTTTGCGTTTCTTAAAAGTAATTTCTTAGATGGACTGATATCTAAAATGTATTACATCATAAATGAAGGCAAATCTCTTTGTCTTCTGGCCCGGCTAATAATATCTACAACATAATGCCGTGTTGCTTGTATGTCAGGACATTTGTTAAATTACATCAATCAACTATGCGAAGCATGTACAAAACACAGACATACACACACACACACATACACACATACGAGTATGTAACGCATCCAAAGGGTCTCCAGCTAGCCTTAATTTAACACTTGACCTGACCTGACCTAACCTACTCATAAGTAATCCATTTGGTCGGCGCATGTTGTGATGTTGAGCTGCTGCTGATGCGACGACATTATCATCATCGTTATTATGGTTGTTGTTCCATTTTCACAATATAGTGCTTAATAAACCGAAAATAAGGAATAAACATCAGATGGCGAACACGCACACGCAGTCAGCGACAAAGGCAAAGGCACGAGGCACTTAATAACTTTGTTAGCGATTTCTACTTGTTGACGCCTTCGACAATTCACTTTATGTGCATTTGTATGCGTGTGTGTGTGTGTGTGTTTGACTTTGTGAATGAGTATGTGTGTGTGTAAAAGTTTGACGCTTGGGCATGCTGATGGCTTGATGAGCGTCAGCCATCATTGACATAACAGCTTAACCACTTCCGTTTCCTCACCGCTCTCACCGTCCTCTGTCTCTGTCTCTGTTTCGCTTTCCTTTGTGTTTATTTATAACATTTGCTTTGCCCCAACCCCAACCCGAAGAGCAACAACAACAACAATAGCTAACATAGACAAACGAATACAAATGTCGAAAGGAAACCGTGCACCGACTGTACTAAGTATATAAACGATTTTTAGACGAACGCACGTAAACTGAAAAAACTGAAATGAATGGAAAAAACGGCAAAGCGAGACACGCAAATAAAAACAAATAACAAAATCAACGAAGTACTTGTGTTTAGAGCATAAAAATAAAACACATGCGGCTATCCTGACGTTAGCGTCACGGTGGGGTTCTTGGACCCCCCATGGCGAGACCCCATTGGGATCCTAAAAATGGTCGCCGTATGTAATTTTTTTTTTGTTTTTCTTCTTTGTATGCAAATTAGTGTACATTGAAAGCGAAATTTCGGACAAACAGACGACGAAGAGCGAACGCTAGAAAGCGGGGAAGGGGAAGGGGAGACACTTGTTCGCCTCACTGTAATCAGCAGGACATTTTCACAAACGTCGGACACATTCTGTGCAATTTTGTGTCAAGTTGTTTTTCATGGTTTGGCACATTAATTGGAACTGAAAAGCAAAAAGCAACAAGAATGACAATTTGTTTTTGTTTTTGTATCACTTATACAATTATCTCTATGATTTAATACACTTACTCGTATGTTGTTATGTACTTGTGTTAAGCATAGCTTTTTTTCTAAATCTTTATTATTCATTTAAAGGCATAGCTTTGAATACGAGTATGTATGTTAAATACATTTTCAATTAAATTCTACTGTTACATTTATACTTTATCTGTTTATTGCCAACAATACAAGTATGAAACAATTGAGTTCAAATATGTAGTGTAGTTACATGTTTTAACTCAATTGTTTATATATGCTTTGCATTACTCATATGAGTGAGCATTTCTCTTTTAAATAAAGAAGAAAGCTTGAGTTTTTCAACATTTATCGATATTTTTTGAAAAGTATTCGAATAATTTTAAACACTGAACTGACTAGATGACTATAAAATCCAATAACAATCAACGTTTGAAACATTCATTAGTTTCTTTTTGTGAGTCAATTAATTTCCAAATTATGTTAATCAGTTATACTCGAATGTACTTATATAAGTAGTATATCACAGCATTATTTTTCATCACCAGTTCCACATTCACTAACTTTTTCTTAGCATATCTTTATTATGTAAATCAGCTAGAAATATGCAGCAAACGAGTCGAAAAGCGTAAAAATTGCTCCAATAACTTCAAGGGCGTAGGCAGGCGGAGCAGGGGGGGGGGCCGTTGCCCCCCCTAGAAAAAATATAAAGTCGACCACACGTTCTTTTTATGACGCATTATTTCGACTTCAAATGGATCTTTTTTTAATTTGTATAAAACTTTAATTTTACTGTTATTATTTACAACAACTTAAATTAAACTTATAGAAATATACAATTACAGCTTAAACTAGGAGTTTAGTCTTATTTAATTATTTATTTCATTTAATTATTAATTATTTATACTTAGATTAAATAAATCTATTGGGAAGATCAGCAGGGTGTGATCTCTTCAGCCTCCTTCTTACAAAAAAAAATGGATCTGAGTTGGATTTGTTGAAGTTTTCTCATTGATCATATGCATAAGTTATTTTTTAAATGCATCGTGCATTATTTAATCAACATTTTTATTTTTTGGCCCCCCACTTTGGTAAAAAGCTGCCTACGCCCTTGAATAACTTCATAACATAATTTAAAATCACAATAAATTCAAATTTCATAGCATACATTTGGGCGTTCACAAAATGCTGAATATGCTAAGAAAATAACCAGCAATTCAATTGATGCATAAATGTTTATTTTTATTTGCAATTTTAGCTTAAATATTTATTATTTATTAGTATTTATCTTTGGTTTTATTTAGTTTAAGTTCTCTATTGTAATGATTTTTTTTATGTATACTTGTATATGTATATATATTTTTTTTCTTTTACGTCGACTGCATTGTTTGTCGATGAAATAAATAAATAAATGAATAAATTATTTATTTTATTTTTAAACTGATTCCATTATACCTCAGGCAGTACAACAAAAGTGGCACTTATCGATAAATCGTCAATTAACTGTTTATGCAAGTTGAAGAAAGATATATAGGGAATATACATAGAAGGAAAAAGTAGAGCTACTCCACAAATGGCATTCTAAGCTGCCAAAAAGTGAACTAAGGCAGGTGAACTAAGGCAGGTGAACTAAGGCGGGGAAGCTCCCGAAACAAATACTGTCCAGGCCCCAAATAAAAATAAGGAGTTCTCGAAACACAGTAGGATGCTAACGAATCAATAGAACGCTCTCCAATCTGATCTTCATCATCCGGCAATATTACGAAAAAAATTTTGAATAAATGTTTTCCAAAGAAGATTAGTAGTCTATGTAATGTTTAGCTAAAGTATTTATCATTTATTTTATTGCTGGACAAATTCCATTATGCCTCAGGCAGGTGAAGAGAAATAAGCCTAGACTGGGAAGCTCCCGAATCAAATACTGGAACATCTCTTAGTCCCTGTCCAGGCCCCAAATAGAAATGTTGGAGTTCTCGAAACACAGTAGGATGTTATCGAATCAATAAAATGCTCTTCAATCTGATCTTCGCCAATATTAAGAATTATTTTTAAACACAAAATATGTGTTTATATATAGTACCATAAATTCGTTGGAAAAGTATTGTATAACATGAATAATAATAATGACAATTTAAAAGAAACGTTCAGCTATTTTTGTCTCACACCAAAACCCAATATTAGAGAAAATTCTGCAAAAACCTGGCAATAATACCAACACGCTTTAAAAAAAATTGCAGGAAGTCTTTACTTGCAATTTGGATTTGTTTGCTTTTTACTTTTCCAGCTCACTTCGTCGCGTACTAGAGAAAAAGGAAACTCTGCTTTGGCTCTTCATCACTCGGGGCATGGCCCCTCCCCTAACTCGCCCCATTCCTCCCACTCCCATCACTCCTTTGAGAGGTTGCTGGCGCCAAATTATAAGCCCCAGCCAAAGTGCTGAGCATAAAAATAAACATGGGGTGGAGGGGGCATGCGTCACAACAACGTTGGTGTTGGTGGCAACATAGAACGAAGCCTTTTATGCTCTGAGGCTGGCGGATGGCATAGGTCGTGTTTTCCGTTGAATCAACAAGTAGTGGCGCCTGATGGGACGCCAATAGAGCTGTCCGCCAGACCGGCCGACCAAAGGGTTTGCACAGCCGGCATTTGCATAAAATTCATTTAATTTTTTTTTGCTATGTACGAGTATGTTGGTGGAAAATGTTTCAGCGCCTCTAAATTGTGCACTTAAATCTAGATTCCTGAAGAGGCGGTGGCTTGCTTTTATTTTTGTACGCGCTTGTTGTTTTCACATTGTTTTTTTTTCCACGATGGTTTTTACAATGAATTTCTCGGACTAGCCAACAACATAATGCGCACTTTGGTTTTATGGTTTTTCATACCATGGAATTAACATTTTGATTGGATTTTTCAATATTGTGCCATATGGCAGGTTAGTTGATTGCTCGCTTCTCGTTTCGATGCCGCCGGCAACCACCTTTGAAGTCTGGCTGACTGCGGCATTAGTTGCCATTGGCTTTTTACGTCTTGCCTCAACATGCAGATAGCTGCTGATTAGATAAATCGCTTAAGAAACGCTGAAAGAAACGTTTTCCCAAAAACACACTTCAATTGTAAACATTAAATATTTATTGCAGGTATATGGTGAAACGATGAAAGAATCATCAGATTCAATATCCATTCCTTAACCAGTAGTAGTAGCAGACTCCTCTGTCGTTTCAGTTGCTTCCGTAGCTGCTTCAGTTGTATCTGAAGTGGATGTTGGAGCAAGTGTGGTTGTCGCGGCGGTGGTCGTTTCGACGGCAGCGGTGGAAGCTGTGGCGTTTGCCACAGTTGTAAGGGTTGGCCTTGGTCCCCAAGGTCCGGCCCATCCCCAACCAGGAACACGGGGTGGATCACGACGACCACCACCCCTACCAGGTGGACCACCCCTACCAGGTGGACCACCCCTACCAGGTGGACCTCCCCTACCAGGTGGACCATCTTGCCGACCGCCAGAGGATGAACGTCCTCTAAAACCATCACCACCTCTGCCTCTGCCAGAACCGCCACGTCCACGTCGTGGCTCTGCCATGGCAATGACGATGAGGCCCAATAACAATATCAGAATGGAGATACGCATGTTTTCCAAATTATTCGCTTACTTCTGCGCTCTAATTCAAGTATTGACTGCTCTTATATACTTCCACCCCAAGTGGGCGCGAATATTGTATTGCCGACGACTCTCATTGTCTTGGCCAGCCAAACATATGTTTTCGACCATTATTATTCCGCACAAGAAAAAGCTTCAACCGTGGAGTATAGTTTTAGAACGCAAATATTGAATGACGTGCATAATACCACTCGTATTTTGATATCTGTTCAGCTTGAAGTGCCAAAATTTTCCAAATTGGTCTAGCACATTGTCAATATTTCTTGTATTGTTATTGTTATAATCCTACACATTTAGTTACTTATATAACACTTAGTATGTATATTTTAATTTTAAATTCTAAATGCCAGAAAATTCCCAGCAAAACCACCTGTCTAGCTAATTATAGCACGCTATTGGTTTTATAAGCTTGAAGGCTATAAATAGATATGCTCAAAAGATGTTAAAGGCTGAATTAAGACAAATCGATCCAATCCTCCTAATCCTATCCAACAGAATTTGGTCATTACTGTTTACAACTCCAAGCTACATAAACTAAACTTTGCTCAACTGTTTATACCCTGTACCCGAAGGGTAAAAAGGGTATATTAGGTTTGTGCACAGTATGTAACATGCAGAAAGAAGCATCTCCGACCCCATAAAGTATATACAAGTATATTCTGAATCAGCATGACGAAAGAAATCAATCTAGACATGTTCGTCCGTCCGTCCGTCCGTCCGTCCGTCCGTCCATCTGGATGAACGCAAGGATCCCAGGAACTATACAAGCTAGAACAACCAAAGTTGGTATCCAGATTCTTCTACGTCCGAGAAAGGACGAGTTTATTTTTTTTCCCCCTTCCCCCTCTGCCGAATTTCGTCAATAGCGTCCACATTTCAAAAAGCTACCTAAACCAAACTTTGCACACATAATTTATATATAATTATCTACTGTTGTTTAAAATTTTATTCAATTCGGTCAATTCTAAGAATAGTTATTAGCGAAACAAATTCTCTCCGGTACTACGCCCACAAACCGTCACTCGTTTCATATTTCATTTTTTCATAAAGTACATAAAACGATTGGCTTCAAGATTGGAATCTTTGTACTATCCAATCGTTGAGTTTTTCATCTGGCAATCATATGATGCCATTTGTAACAAGGAAAAAATTAAAGTCTCTTAGAAGCTTCGACCCGTTAAAAGAGTTTTATTCTGAAAGAACATTCAACGAAGCTGCTTTTCATTAATAATCCTTGTCTGTTGTCATGCAGACAAAAATTGATCGATCGTTGAAAAAAATTGTAGACATAGAAGGTCTGTTAGTGCATTTTAATGTACATAAGACATTCAGGATGATAAGAAAACGTGACTCCAACATTAAAATGGCTAGAAAAAAAGTTAATAATTGAAAACATAATGAATTAAACGCCCAACAAAATCAACAAAGCCATCATAAGTCAATCAAGTTTCTTCTGTATGTAAATTTATTTTCCTATTTCTACTAAATTTTATTGATGCAGTCGACATAGGAACAAAAGCTACACTATATTATGAACTTAAGTTCGATAATCATAAACTATGTTCTAACAAATAGATAAAATATTTAGTAACGCCAACACGTCATCTTTTAACGTGATTTGCCATCTAGCATCTAGCAGATATAGTACATACATAACTGATCAATGAATTCAATAAGAAAAGCAAAAACTGAACAATTTCAAAAGGGCATTTTCCATTGGGAAGCAGGATATAAGTCTTTAACCAAGAGAGGACAAATTTTGTAACCAAACATTTCTATGGCAGCTTTTCAATGTGATTGAAAGGTCGGACAATCGCGCTCAGAATAGAGCGTTAAAAGAGACGAAGTGGGTTTATAAACATGTCAATATATGTACGAGAAAATCTTCACATTGCTTCTTACAATGAATGCAAGGAGAACTGTTTCGCTGGATTTGCAGAGCATAGACTCTAGACTTATACTAAATAAAGTTTGATATAGAAACACACATTGGAGCCCAAAAATGAGAAGAGTTTACCAAAAACAAAATTCAAAATATACAACTTTACTTCTTTTAGCTGACGAGATAGTTAAACAAACGTCTTAGTCTGCTGGCTTTCAACAATCTTTTTAGTACAACCTAAAAAATTTCTAATTTTAGGCATCAATTGAAAAATTTGAGACTATTTTTTTTGTATGAAATTGAAAATGGGGAAATTTTGTATTAACCATTTCTAATACAATTTTGGATTCAGTTTTATATTTTTGTTCATTAAAATAATTTGAATTAAAAATCAATTGACTAATGTAATACTGTTTGGCTGTATAAAAATATTTATGAAAAAATAATAGAATATATACGCGTATTTATTTTTGCAAACCATATTTGTACCCTTCCTAAATGTTAGACAAAACTCGAAACCATTTGCTTGTACACTCTTTTATTATGCAATTAGCCAAAACGAACTCAAATCAACATTTGCAAAATTAGGCAACCTCAGTAACAATTTCGGGTGCAATATCCTCAGCTGCTGGAATTACGGCTGCTTGTGCACGTCTAAGTCCACGGCGAGACGGCAAGACAGGCAGAACTTGTGGAACTACAGGTCTAGGCAAGCCCACTGATCCCCAAGGGTTGTAGGCACCATTCCAGCCATATGACTGAGGATATCCCCAGCTGGGCCAATAGTTGGGTGCCTGATTCCAGTCGTAATAGTAGCCCGATCGGGCTAAACGTCTGCGTGAATTGAAACGAGGGTTGCGCCTGCCACGTCCAAATCGGCGCCTTGGTCGTCTATTCTCCGCTCCGACATCGACTTCATTGTCCGAAGAATCCACAACGGATTCCTCATCTGGCTCAGGTACGGCAGCAGCGTCTACTTCTTGATCATCAGCATCAATCAAAGGCGCAATGGCGATATTTACGGCAGGCTCGGGCAACACTTCCACAGGCTCCACTAGGGGCTCAACTGCGAGTTTAATATCTTTAGTTTGTGGTTCAATATTCAAAGGTTCATCGATACCCTCAATTGGCTGAACTGCGAGTCTCACCAACGGCTCGCTGTATTCAATGCCGTAAGCCACGCTGACAATTGCCAAAAATATAAACAGACGCATTCTGGTTCCGATCACAACTACTTAATGATTATCATTTTCAGCCACGATGTCTTTTATAGCCAAAGTCAATCTTTTGTTTATTTTTTTAGCTACATTTTCAAGCAGTCAAAAGTTCTTGGGCCTTTCTAGGCAGACCTTGATAGTCGTCTATGCATTTTGTTTTGCGCACCAGATTGTTTATTCAGATTTTGAACGGCGAGACAAGCCAGAAATATGGTATTGTACGAATTGTCTTTGTTTAATTAGCTTGAAGAAAGCAATTGAAGATGTTGAATAACTCTCATTAGAGTATTTGCAAATGTTTTGAATTCGACACGGGCCACAAATACAAATGGGATTAACACTTAATTGTGAATACATACTGCTACATCATCTAAATAATCAGCTCGGAAATATCATAATTAGCTGGTATATACTTACAAGTGCGTATAACAATACAATATTTCAACTGAAACTTTCTTTGAATAGAATAGAAATAAGTTACTAAAATATAGATTTTAAAATAACGTTTAATATATTTTTAATCCACTATTTTATTATCTCGATAAATTATGTCCTTTGTTTTATTCAATAGTATACAATTTTTAGCTATAACTGTCTAGCTCTGTATATATAATTATAATTTTATTCTTTTGTGGATTAAACCAAATTATATTATACTGAAGGGGTTTGATAAAGAAAGTCTTATTATTTCCAATATTGAACTCTCCAGACACCTTATACAGGTTTGAAACGAAACCAAAACTCAAGCAACCGTACGCTAGACCCGTTCCTCCCTCTTTTCCCTCTCCCTATATTCATCATAAATTCTTCCTGTCGTTTTCTTTCTATCGCCCTTCGCTCAAATCTCACAAGACAACTTATCTACTTATCAACTTTTAATAAATTAAATAATTTTCCATCAAATGCAAACTAAACTTCATATTTAAACAATTCAACAAATAACTCAAAATCTTGTCTTAAAAATATATATATCTAAATCTAATGTTCCAGTTTTAATGCTCGTCTCAAAAAAAATTGAGTTCCAAAAAAAAATATCCCTTTAAAATAGTCAATGCTTGCGAAAAGCATTCTCAGGATGTGTCCATTACTTCAGACATTTATGTAAATAGCTCGATTTTATATTCAGTTTAGTTTTTATTTTATTTCTAAATCTCCCGATCTGCCAGTTTGTGGTGCTGTTCCAGTTCCTATGCCAGTAGTATACATAAGTATCACAACCTGGGTATTTGGGACCGCAAAAGGTCCGGCCCTTACGATAGCAAGAAGACTGTACTACACAAAAAGAATGGAGAAACGCATCTTTGCTAGTTTCTAAAAAGTACATTGACCGCTTATATAGCTTTCCATAAAATTATATTTGCTGACGTCATACTTATTGACGTACGATATCAGACCATTTGCCGAGGCATACAAAGCACTTTTTCAAATTTCGACACTTTGAATTATTACTCAAATATTGAATGACGTAAATGGTAAATACTACGTACTTGACTTAAGATGCCAGTATTTTTAGAATCATATGTTGTTCAAAGAAGAACACTTGCTTTGAAGAATACAAAAAAGGTTTTTTAAAACTAGGTCTACATTGCTCAGAGTGTGTAACGAAAACACACTCGAGCTTTCTCAATAAAGAATTCTAGCCTTAAAATATTAAAAATTTAACAACAAACATTTTAAAAATGTTTTGTTGAACTTTGAAGTACTTTTGAGCTCCAAAATTGGTTCTCAGAGAATCTGTTAAAATATATTTTTTTAACGACTTATGTTCGATTCAGCTGAATTGATATATATATATGATAGCATATATACTCGGTAGGTTACATTGCATATCACTTCTTGAAGAGAGAGAGAGATTTTGCTCCGATTTCTAT